GTCGACGGGCGCCACCACGCGGCGAAGTCACGCCCAAATCCCCCGTATCCACCGACCAAACGGCCCCCCGAAACAAACGAGTCAAAGTCTTCGTCATAGCCCGCACTTGCGGCAACGATATACCGGGCAACCAGACTCGTTGCTCTCGTTGAAACCGACGCGACCCGCGCAGTCACAGGCAGTACATGCGCCCCCCTCTTGAAGAACGGGCCACTACACATCGTGATCGTTATGTTTTCAATGTTCTGGCGGATGGTGAATATCATCTCGGACCACTGACACATTCGCCGGATTGTACATGTCGTTTCGCCGCGGAGCTCGGCCCTGTTGCTGGCGAAACGCGCAGTCCACATGCTTCAAAATGCGTACATCGCACACCGGATAGCCATATTACAAAGGCAGACATGGGGATTCCAACATACACTGCTCGCATCACTCCCGGACATTGAACATATCCAAGCCCACGGTGGCCACGCGCAGTTCGAAAACATCCACGGAAATGTTAAATATATATCCTGGTAAGTTCCGAAGCAACTCCGCAACGACCATGTCTCGGCGGGCGCGCGTCATTTAACCTTGACGCAAGAACAAATTCACGGAACGATTACCAGATGATGCGGCAGTCAGACCGAACTGTTCCATGCTCTATCATTAAGAAATCGAGCACGGCAGCAATTCGACCTTCAGCGCCTCGCAAAGACCCGCCACACCTAGCCAAGTCTCCTCAGTACTTAGCCGATGGCGCGACCCATGCCCGGATTCGAGTTTGCTGTGCAACTTCCCCCCTGTGCATGTTTGATCCGCGCTACCTTAGTCGAAATGAGGGTTGGCCAACTTGACCTGGTTCTCCCGCTGGATGAGCGTTTGCGACTGGCGTGCCACATTTGGCACACAGCGCCGCGGTCGCACATCCAGAATACGGCGACATACGTCTGCGACGGCTACCGCTTCGCGGAGTCCGAATCCACTGGGCCCGCACTTGGAGCGCTCGCACTCGTTCGATCTATCCCTTGGTCACATTGGCGCAAAGAAAAAACATTAGAGAGAGAGAAAGAGATATAAAAAGATATAGAGAAAGAGAGAGAGAGAGAGAGAGAGAGAGCCAAAAACAAGCGCCTTGGCGCGCCAACGCCTCCGGCTACCTCGTCGGTCCAGCCAGCGCGCGCATCATTCGGAAAAGCGCGCAGAGACTCATAGAAGTGGGCAAACACGTCGGCAACCCCTTTGGGCGATGTAGCCCACGGAACTATGACGCGTTGTTGGTGTCGATCATGTTCCACCGCATTCAAAGGCGTTCCCTCTGCGACACTATATGTTATCCTGTCAAATTTCTCGCTTTGTTTTCCAAAGTAACACGGAAGCGTTTTGCTGCCAACTTTGACAAGCATTTTCTCCCTTTCTGGCTCTTGAGAACACCACCTGCGTTGCGTGAAATGTCGGGGCCGGCCCCTGGCAGCCTCACTCGGGCCTGGAGCCCAGCCACCTCGAAAACCGATCCCGCCAAGCGAATTGTCTCTGTACTCGATCTGGCCCCACGACGCACATGCGATCGGATTTACAATCGATGCAACCGTTCACGAAAACTTCATCGAGCGCTAGCAGCACAGAGAACATGGACATGGTACAACCACCTGTTTTCTCACAACCACGTTTCACTGATAGTGCGTCCACTACCACTCGTACCGCTTCTGCTTCCGAGAAATTGCTGCTAACAATATTTGCGCATTCACCAATCCTGCGAAACGCTCGCTCATTTCTACGACGCAAGCCCAAGTTTCCAATCAAGCGCGGCTCATCCCCTTCGCTGTGCTGACCCGGTACTGCGTTTGCATCCATACTTGGGGCTCTCCGCACTCATCGTGGGACGACAACCAAAGATGGTGGACCTGGAACGACGGTGCCTGCACTGCGAGGCAGCCCGACCGCGCCAGCCGCAGGGAGAGGCCGCAACCTTCCACTCTGTAGAGGAAGCCCTTCCACCAGATCTCTTGGAAGCTGCTGCAAAGCGAGTCACAGCAGCGGGCCATCAAGAGGCTGCAGAACGAGGCAGGCTGCATGTTCACGGCGGCCTGGCACGCCCACTGCCAAAACGTCGATTGGATCCAGCGCGTCGCGGGCGCGCCCCTTGACTCCTTGCGCCGTTCGTTCCCCGGAGGGCGCCGTGAACTTGATCCGGGAACTGGCCACCGCAGACCAGGACCAAGTGGGCTCAGCGGCGCCGAGCTTCGGGGGAGGCTCCCCGAGCTTCGGAGAACAGAGCCAAGCAAAAAGAGAGCGCCACCGCTACGGGTTCGGGCAAGACTGCGGCTTGGAGCAACTCGCGTATATTCCGGCGCTGCGCGACCACTCGAGAGATGCCGCTATGACGAGCAATGAGAATGTGACGCCCCCAGGGTGGTGACCCTCGCGCCACTGTCCGCACCCAGATGCCGCGCTCTGGGCGCGCTCTGGGCCCTAGACTATTGGTCCTTCGCGCTGTCAACTGCCCCTTCGCGTTTCAGCTTTTCGCCCCACCTGGTTCCATTACTACCCTGCTCACCCAGCTATCCAGCTTCTCACACGGTGAGTGGGCTCTTCGCCCGTCTTTTCACGCTCCCTTCTTCCCCACGTGCTTCGGGCCTTTCGCCCTCCTCTTCCCACGTCTCTTCCCTCCCCAGCTGCGCCGCCATGGCGCTGCCCCTCCTCGCCCCCCGCGGCCCGCCTGCACTGCCATTCTTGGAGTTCGGCAAGGGTCCGCCTCGTGCCGTTCGACAAGGGAAATGCCCTGCGGTCGTCGATCCACGTCCTCCGCCGCCCTGGGGCGCCCTGTGCGTCTTCCTGACCTGCACCACTCGGCCTTTCACCCAGCGCGTCTGTCTGGCCAGCTTTGCTTCGGCGCTGCTCTGAGCCCCCGGGTCCTTCACTCAGTTTCGGACCTTCCTGCATCCGTTCAAGTACGGCCACTTCGTCCTGTTCACTGCTTCAGGGCCTTCCTCTACATGGTCTCTGGCTCCGTTTCGCTGAGTCGCGTTTTGACGTGTGCACCAGTTCTCCTGTTTTTGTTCCTGCCCACCGCTCTGATCTCGCGCGTGGCTCATCTCGGCGCCCTGCACCTTTCAAGGCCTTCCACATCAAGCTGGACTCGGCATCCGCTGCTCGTACGCAGCTCAAATGCAAGTTCTACTACGGTATCCCCGCGCTGGCTTTCATGGTCTGAGCGGACTCCTATCTATTCCCAACTTGCGTTCTGTTCACTTTCGCCTTCGTGCCGCAATTCGCTCCCTGGGCACCCCACCGCTTGCTGACCGGCTTCTGACTGTCTTGGACCACTTGGCGCCCACGGACTTGAAGGTAAATACAGTGGCTTGCGCTCTCTGCGCTGCGTGGACACGCTGGTCAAACCGCATCAAACAGGCAACCTGATCTTCCTCTGGGACCGCCCAGTGCAGGCAGTGCGACGTGATGACAAAACATGTCTGGCCATGTGTACAAACAGATACTGCCACAATGCGTCCGCTTTCTGACATGAATTCCAGTCTACAGTATCGTTTCATCCACTGCGAGTGTTAAACAATTGCGACCCCCCAAGAACAGTTGACCACCGCAGAGGTTCAGGAAAGTATGATATCGGAGAAAAAACCCTATCAGAATTTGTTTGGGGCTAGGGCTATAGGGCTATTGGGCTATAGGGCTATAGGGCTATAAGGCTATTATAGGACTATAGGGCTATAGGGCTATAGGGCTATCGGGCTATTGGGCGATAAGGATATAGGGCTTTAAGGCTATGGGGCTACAGGGCGCCGGGCACCCGGGCACCCGGCACCCGGCACCCGGGCACCCACCCGGGCACCGGGCACCCGTCACCCGGGCACCCGGGCACCCGGGCATCCAGGCACCTGGGCCCGGCCACCGAATCGGCGGCGAACCCGGGCACCCGGGCACCCGGGCACCCGGGCCCGGCCACCGAATCGGCGGCGAACCCGGGCACCCGGGCACCTGGGCACCCGGGCACCCGGGCCCGGCCACCGAATCGGCAGCACACCTCACCTACCCTCAAATCCGCTAGGACCCCTACAGAGGCAAGCTCTGATTGGGGAATAGGAAATCTACCCGCCTTCTAGCTCACCGCGCACATCCTCGGCAAGCGACGGTCCCTCCTGCAGTAGAATGACGTCCTATTCCCGCGAGTTGAAGTCCGAAAGAAGTAACAACTATTCAACCAAGTCAGGTGTCACACCGCACGCATTCCAGGACAGAACTGTTAGAGGCTCCCTGCGTGGCCTGGGCCCTCTGCATCAAGCGCCGCGTTTGCCGCAAGCACGCATGTTGATTGTTGCAGGGACGTCCCCTACTTGGAAAGGAACCGTCCTCCACACGTGCAAGTGTTGCACGCTTCTTGTCTGGACGAACATGAACACATCTCGAGCGAGAGGTCCGCTCTGGAAATGAACTGCTCTCCAACCCCCACCTATGAGACTGTTGTAAACTCGAATGCGCGCGGCACAAAAAACGAGACCCCACATTTAAAAAAGACGTGCCACCCATCCGCGTACTCATCACGAATGTCCGCGGAGGCCCAAGCGAAAGAAAGCTTTCAAATCGTTCCACCATGTATCCCCGAATTGCACCGAAACTTCTGCTTCATAATCAGAAGCTGTGAGGGGACCTCGGGCGCAGAGCCCGCTCCGCTCTGGCGGCATGAATAGGGTTCGAAGGGGGGCGCATTCACATGAGGAGGCATGGGAGAAGAATACAGCAGCAACAACAACAACAACAACGGCGAAGACGAGGAGGTCAAGGGGGAGGAACCTCTGGGGGTTGAGCCGAATTGGTCGTTAGCACCTCCGCCAGCTCCCACCGACAGTTCCTTGTCAGAAGAGGTCGAGACCAATTCATGGTAGCAGGGGAGGAGGTAACAGCGAGGAGGGAGAAAGGGAGACATGCATGTAGAGAAGAGGTGACGGGACGCCACTGCCAAAACCACATCCCACGAAGCGCGCGGAAAAAAAATCTGCGCCAACCTCGAACATGAAGAACAGGACCATGGACACGACCAGCTTCCCTAGCTCAACGACCACCATCAAGACCTGGCCATAGCAGTCTCTCCCCACCCTGTCGCGCCCATGGTTTTTCCCCCAACAGCATGGAAGCCATGCCGACCTGTTAAAGAAAAACTATATTATCATCGTTCTCTCTGGGAATATCCCAGTCACTGGAGTCGCCACAAGTGTCGCATGCGGCCAACGCCTGCACTCCCCGTCTCTCTCTCTCTCTCTCTATCTCTCTATCTCTCGCTCTCTCTCTCTCTCTCTCTCTCTTTCTCTCTCTCTCTCTCTCTCTGTCTCTCTCTTCCTCTCTCTCTCTCTCTCTCTACCCCTCTCCCTCTCTCTCTCTCTGTCTCTCTCTCTCTCTCTTTCTGAGTATCTCCCTTTTCTGTGTAGTACACCTTTCGTATACACCAAGTCTCTGATTACTTTGAACTGCCTTCGCACAACCCTCTGCACTCTGCCGTCCACGACCTACTCTCAACCATCCATGTGCATATATAAATATAGACTCACGAATGTGATGTCTTTATGTGTGTGCGTCTGTTGCTTTCTCTATATCTCTCGTTCCTCTATCGCCCTCTCTCTCTCTCGCTCGCGCTCCCTCTATTTGTTATGTCGTTGTTCTCTCTCTCTCTCTCGCTACATAGGTTCTCTCTCTCTATCTGTCTCTGTCTGTCTGTCCCTCTCTCACTCTCCTCCTCTCTTTCGCTCTTTATGTATATCTCTCTCTCTCTCTCTCCCTCTGTCATTCTCTCGTCTCTCTCTCTCTCTCTCTTTCTCTCTCTCTCTCCCTCTCTCTCTCTCTCTCTCTCTTTCTCTCTCTCTCTCTCACTATGTTTCTCTATCCCTCTCTTTTCTCTCTCTCTCTCTCTCTCTCTCTCTCTCTCTCTCTCTCTCTCTCTCTCTCTCTCTCTCATCTCTCTCTCTCTCTCTCTCTCTCTCTCTCTCTCTATATATATATCGTCTTTCTCTCTCTCTCTCTCTCTCTGTATATCTCTCTCTCTCTCTTTCTCTCCCTCCCACTCTCTCTCTCTGTCTCATATATATATATATGTATCGGTCAAAGTACAGTAATGTTGTTTCTTCTCTTGTATGGTATGTTGTTGGTTTCCATGTTCTCTCTGTCGCTGACTCTCTCTCTCTCTCTTTCTCTCTCTCTCTCTCTCTCTTTCTCTCTCTCTCTCTCTCTCTCTTTCTCTTCTTCTCTCCATATTATTATGTATCGCTCTCTTTGTCTTCCTTACATAAAAAAAGGCGTCCTGTGCTCTCTGATCTGTGTAATAACAGTAATATATACACTAAGGTGTCTTATCATTTGAACCTGGCGGTACATCTTTTTATAATATATACGACAGTGCTTGCATGTACTCGCTCGTTCTCTCTCTCTCTTTCTCTTTCTCGGACTCTCTATTTCTCTCTCTCTCTCTCTCTCTCGTTATCCCTTTCTCTCTCTCTCTCTATATCTCTCCCTCTCCCTCTCTCCCTCTTTCTCTCCTTGTATCGCCTTCTGCTCCGTCTTTCGTTTTCTCTCCCTCTCTCTCTCTGTTTCTCTCTCTCTCTCTTTCTCTCTCTCTCTCTCTCTTGCTCTCTCTCTCTCTCTCTCTCTTTCTCATTGTTACATTGTTATATCACGCTTAGTCTGCATAGCTTCAGGAGTCGAAGAACCATCGGTTTCTGAAGCTCCATAATCCATCCTTTTCCGCTTAACTTGGATGTCTGCTCTCTTCTATGCGTTATCAGCTATAATCACAGCCTGGCGAAAACATCGAGAACCTGAAAACTCAATGTGCCATGGACACTGGACTCATAAGCAAAAGCCTGGGAGACCGGCCGCCCACCGACATGGGCCTGGAACCCAAAACACCAAACCTTGAACCCCAGCCGCCCATCGAAATCGGACCCGCCTTTGTCGCATAGATTTCCTATATCCCATAGGACCCCTTTCAGTACAAGCACTGATGGGGGAACTGCTCTCTCCTACCCCTGTGCACTTGTCGTGTTTTCTATATATATATATATATATCCCTCTCTCTCGATCTTGTGTTGTTTTATTTGTTGTGTCTTTCTCTCTCTCTCTCTCTCTCTCTCTCTCTCCGTCATTGTGAACGGATCCATATGTTATAATATAGTCACTCGGGTTTCTCTTTTTGGTTCATTATCTGTCTCATTTTCTCGGTGTGTGTGTCTCTCTCTCTCGCGTTTCGACTCGCTCGTTTCATTCAGTCACAAGTACTACGTTAGTGCCGACACGTACACCATCAACTCGCAATGCCCTTTGGTCGCGTATGTAATTTCATGTATATATACAAATAAAAGAATGTGTATACACGAGTGCACTGGCGCTTCGCGTTACAAACTCTGGTTCACGAGATGTGGCATGAAGGCGGAAAGAAAGGAAAGTAAGACCGGACACCTGGCATTGTGGCTGAACTAATGTGATCCGTTAAAGTTAGGGTATTCATGTTTAGTGCCTCTTCCTCACTACGTCATCGCTCTACCCTGCGAATTATTCCACACCCTCCTTCGCTGATTTGCGGAGCATCCTCCTTGGAAAGCCTCTGAGTCGATGGATGGGGGTGGCCCCTGAGATCGATATGCGTGGAGTCGGAGAAAGGCCACGGGCAACCGCTGGTGCAAACCTGGGCCAGGTCTTGCGAGCGGCAGGAATGATTACAACTGTGGACCATGTGCCTGAATGCCAACGTCCGGAACTGGACATCGTGGCGGGGCAATTCACAAGACATGTTTGGGTCGACTTCTTCTGGACTGCAACTGACGTGGTCGATGCAGAGCACAAGATGGGCACGCGACAAACCTCGCCTCTGGCACTCAACGACTCTGACAAGTACTTGCGACGGCCGCATGAATGGGTTTTCAAGCACGCCGCCATCTTCGCCAAACGGCCATGGGGCACGCGCGCGGTGGTATCTGGACTCTCTGCGGGCGTTTGGCCTGGGTACAATGCCACTTGTATCACAGCCCTGTAGCAAGTGCACGCCACTGCGATGCACACAAAACGAAGGCCATGAGACGCGCCAAATCCAATGTGCCTGCGCGAAATGTCCGCAAGTTTCGCGGTGAACCCGGCACGCTGGCTGGCAAGTGATTATTATTGCCGATGTTCGCGCTGCCAGACAGATATTTCATTGACCTCGACCTTGTAGATGTCCTTCCTGGCGGCTGCGCGCCTGTGCTGAAATTCCCGCATCTGCGAGATGCGTCCTCCATGTGGCAGAACAAAACGATGAACCGCTCATTTGGCAGTCTTCCGCACTTGTCGGCGCCAACACATTTGCGCCACTTTGGACCCAGTAGCGCTGGCCACATCAATGCTCCAGCCGCGGCCTCCGGCCTGGAACCACAGAGGATAGCTAAGTTACAGAAAGCTTCAAAGGATGTAGGTATTCATGGTGGTCATGCCAGGCGCGGCGGAAGGACACGGAGCGATAGTGGCGCGTTCGCGGCGGATCGAAATCAACGGCGCCGACGATTGGTGGCGCCCTCACGCCATTCCAAAGCCACGGCGCCGTCCGACGTTGGAGCCCTCGCATTGGTCAATCGTTCAAATGTGCGCGTGTGCGTGTTTTGTGGCAATACGAGACGCTCTTCGTCCGCGAGTACCTCGGGGGAAAATCAATTTTCTGTGTTGCGGTCGTCCGTCTTTGTGGATCAACATGTCGGTACCGGTTATGTACATGGCGCGGTGGATCTGGGGGTTGCTAAGCCGCAACGCGCCGCCGAAGGGCCGCTCTTTGTCACTGCCACTGTTATGGGTGTCATGCTTCGCTCACGCGAACAATTGTTGAACTGGCGGGACAACGCGCCGAATCCTGTTCACAATGTTGCGCTGGTGTGGGCATCGCACAGCACGGCTCCAGCATCGTCCTCTAACGGCAACTGCTCGCTGAGGACAGCCTTGGGCGCGCCGCCAGGCATAGCAAAAAAGGCGGTGAAGTCGAATGTAAACTTGCTAACGGTGCAACAGAAATTTGGAGACCTCCGCAATGCGAGCAAAGCTGGCCCACGTCGCCAAAACAAGAAGGGTCGTTATACGCGCGTCCGTCTGGACTGCTGCAGGCATTACATGGTGCTCGAACAGTGTGGTGGCAGTCCACCGGACATGAAATCCATGGCAAGATGGTGCCACACTGTTTTCAGGCCCCAGTGTGGACTGCGCGATTTGCCCCGCTGCGCTGCGAACCACTGACGACGCAAAGTGTGCATTTCCATGTGCTCCGCTTTATCTTCATGCTTGAGAAAATGTTTCGAAGCTGGTGTTGCTCGCCGGCGGTGTTCTTGAGTGCACTTCGATTAGGAGGCATGTTTCCGGTATTATGGTTTGCACCTAAGTGGCACGCCAGTGTGGAATGCGTTCGAAATCGTGCATAAACCCCCGTGCGGGTGGCAATCCCACCAGCCTTCTGGGCGTGAGTGGAATAAAGCGTTTCCTCTTCCACCCCTCCCCCAGGCGACTGGGAGCCAACCACCCCCCCACCATCCCTTGTAAAAGAAATACAAACACACACCTTGCCTCCAAATTCGGGGAATGCGCAGCAAACCTGATGCAGCCTCTCCCCACCGTCCCTGTCAAAAAACCATACACAGTACACTTGGCAGCGGCGGCGGCGGCTGCGGCGGCTGCGGCGGGGGCAGCGGCTACGGCGGCTGCGGCGGTGGCGGCGGCTTCGGCGGCGGCGGCGGCGGCAGCGGTGGCGGCAGCGGCTGTGGCGGCAGCGGCTGCGGCGGCAGCGATTCGGCAGCTGGGGCGACGGCGGCGGCGGCGGCGGCGGCGGGCGGCGCGGCGGCTGCAGCGGCGGCGGCGGACGGCGGCGGGCGGCAACAACAACGGCGGCGGACAGCAACGGCGGCGGCGGCGGCGCGGCGGCGGCGGCGGGCGGCGGCGGCGGCCGCCGCGGCGGCGGCGGCGGCGGATTCGCCCCCAGTAGCTGCCCATCCAAAGACGACTACTGAATATGCTGCGGCTCGGGCCAGGCTCGGGTGCTACGTACGTGTTGGGAGGGCGGGTGGGAGTGAGCGAG